TGACCTGTTGACTAGACAATTTAGGCACTTGGTGTATACCCGAAAGAAAGAGTTTTGTATTTCTTGGAAGTTGGTAGACAACTTGGCCAAACGTACTGAAGCAACGGATGACTCCAGCAGAAACAGATTGCACTCCATGTCCGGAGATAAACTGAGCCAAAGAAGCAGCCACATTTGATTTTCTCACAATAAAACCAATACCACTACCGATCTGTTGATTCAACAGTGGAGGTCCAAGCAATGAATAATCAGTAAGCCCTTTGCCCTGCAACATCAACTCCGATTATTCCAGCAAAAGTAAGTCGGAAGCTTGATTGTAGGACGTAATAACATTTAAATGAGGCAATAGATGGAAATGCCACAGAGCACTAACGCCTACGCTTTCAAGTTAATAGTTACACAACACAAACGCTATGACAAAAACAGCACCATCCTGAAATATGGTCAAACTAGCTGAATCTCAGTCACAAAAAATGAAAACAACAAAGACGATTGCAATATGCTACTGCTCCCCAAAAAATATCAACTAATGCTCAAAAATTTAATGTGCTACACCAAAATATATACATAACCGCAGAAAGGTTGAGATCATCAAATCAAGTTTAGTTGCAGAACAAGAGCTACCCATAAATTCAACTGACTTGTTAATTATGCCCAAGACATGTGGCCTGATTTTATTATGCATATGATGGATGCTGCTGTTCCAGAATAACTCACAATACCACAGCCAAAAGAAAATATACATCACATACTACAAGAACTGAGAAGGAAACAAATTCAACAACAATATAAATTACTGTGTAAATTGTACCTGATCAGAAGAATTTGTAGTAATTGCAACATCTCTGCATCGAGCTCCCACTGGGACTGCAACAGCAGAGAACCAATCACTAACATCTGCTGCATAAAGCACTTTTGCTAGTGAAAGTGGGCTGCGTAGAACATCATTTTGACCTCTTTCACTGGCCACAAACTCGGTTACAAGAGTATCTTTCTGCCGGACGGTGGTTTCAAAAGTGAACCTCAAATCAATACCAGTTCGGATCCCCGCTCTACGGACTGCATCACGTTTCTGTTCATCAACATTATCCATCATTAATAGTGCCCCCAAGACGTCAACCTCTCCCCTCACAAGGGTGCTGGATTCTTGGAATGGACTTCCCTTTGAAGACTTATAGAAGGAAAGCATCCGCTCCACCTTGTCTTGCCTGTCCCTAAGTATCATGAGATCTGAAAATGCCTCACGCTGCAACCGCTTCAAGATTTCAATCTGAAAATCATATCATTGGAAGAGTTGTAAAGCCCCATCATACAGCTTGTTGCTACCTATGGAAGCAACAAATTTGTCAAACTCAAAGTTCGGACAGATTAAAGTAAGAAAGAAAAGCAGCAAAATTCCAAACATGACCATTAAATAGGACTCTAGTCAAAGAAGCTCAATGCTTCTTGTAGTGACATTGTTATCCAACATCTGCAACTTACAATACAGACTGCACAGAGATGGTTTTACAATGTAACCCGATGTGTGTGAATTGCAACACCGACTGCATTGGTGATGGTCTTACAGTCTATTTTCGAGAAGGATCGGCCAATCAATTTCTCCAGCCAGTCATAATGAGTGATGAGATCACAGGAAGAAGGCATAGATCTTCTCACTTCAAGAAAATATAAAAAAATATGATCCATGCCAATCATTCGAAAATAGGAGAGAACGCCGCCCTCTGGGCATGATAGGATCACGCTTTGATGATAGAACCCGTTGGGAGGAAGCACCTTAGGTCCTTAGCTCTCAAGGAAAGGACGACCCATTTCAATCCGAAAAAACCAAACCATGCCAGAAGGGATATGGCACGCTTTGTCCTTGGTAGATTGCAATCAATGGGGCCTCGTAACTCCCCGGTTGGGGGCAGACTTTAGACTTATTTTTTCCATATGCCCTAGAAGGAAGTAGGACATCAAAAACTCTATACTAGTTCTAAATCAATGTAAGTATGCTGATCATGTCTGTGATTGAATGATTGATTGGGGATGTTCCAAGAAAATAAACTTAAAGCAACAATCAGCAAGAGGTTTACTTGGGCGTGTGTAGATATCGGAAGGGAACTTCTCAATCAGGATCAAATCACTCTGTATACTCCTCCAACGGTAGTTGATTGGACCACCTCAACTCAAATTCTCAATTAATTATTAAGGCAGCACCGTACCAAATAACACGGACTGTTTATTTTTAAATTGTTTAGCCGACCCTAAATGGCTGGGATAATGCTTTGTTCAATTGGGTGGAGTTTTCTTTTTCAATCTATTTAGTTAAGTTCGGTGTGGGTTTTTATCATTCATCAAAGGACTCCCAGCAAAAACAAGAGTTAGGTAATGGTGTCTCTAACCCGCAAGGTTGCAAGGTTGCTTTCCAGTCCTAGACTATTCCCTGAGAGCATTAAATGACCAAATACAGCCAAAATACCCCCACAGGAATGATCTTTCGAGACAAAAAAACATTGCAGTCAATTCTGAGGTAAAACTGTCTTTGGAACGATAAATTCACAAATGTGTATAGTTAACATGTGATACCATATGAGTGCATGTTTATGTATGTCTCAACACTTCTAAGTTGTAACTAAGCCTAATTACGCAGCTAACAAAGTGATAGCATATGAGTGGATGTTTGTGTATGTTTCAACACCTATAATAAACCTAATTACGCAAACTTGTACAGAAAACACAAATTATAGCAATCAAAGATTCAAAATTGAAAGCAAGTTTCCAAAAAAACTACATAGATTTAATAGCGATAATGCACACACTAATCACGAATATTATTAAAAATCAACAAATCTAAGCGTTTACGAAGAAAGAAAAACTAAAATGTAAGAGGTGGCTGCGAGTACCGGATTACGGCGATTTGAATTGTCACGCCAATGAAGGACGCCGGTAGCAAGGTCTTGGGTTGATTTTGCAAACCCTCTCAGTTTGTCAACTACAGAAGCTACAGGGTCCATTTTAACAAACAAGCCGATACCTGTGTCTATATTTACAGAGTGAGAGAGAAAGAGAGAAGAGAGAGGGGGGGGGGGGGGGATGTTTGAGGAGCTTCGATTTTGAAAAGACCAAGCGGCAATGAAGGAATGAAAATATTCTTGGGCTGGGCAGAGAGAGAGAGAGAGAGATTGAGACTAGAGAGACGAGGATTATGCGGGAAATTGGGGCAGGAGTTACGAGTCGGGTGCTATAAGTACACGTCGTCTGATAGACTTTAAGGAAAATTTCAACTATACCCCTTCTAATTTATCATATCTTCAAAGACACTCTCTATTTTCTAAATCTTCACTGACAACCCTATCATATTAAAAATATTATCTAAAATATAATTTTACTAAATTGGCCATGATATATTTTAGGATAAATTTCATCTACACCCCCTCTAGATAAGAATATTTTTAATGAGGACCTCTCTATTTTCGATTTTTTTTTACGTATTAAAATTATGACAGATTAAAATTCGATTTAAACTTATTAAAATTTAAAATAATTAAAAATTATATTTTTATTAAAATTTGGGCTAACTAAAATTCTATTTGAGCAAATTAAAAATTATTTTTAATTGACTCAAATCAAATTTTAATCAACTCGCATTAAATTTTAATTAGTCCAAATTTTAATACATAAAAAATATAAATTTTAATTGACTCATATTTTAATAAATCAAATTTTAATTGATACGAATTTTAATAAGTAAAAAAATATAAATTTTAATTGAAAGCAAATTTTAATCAATGCTAACAACTCGGGTAGAGTTTAAATCAAAACAAATTTTAATATATAAAAAATAAATTTTAATAGGATCGAATTTAAATAAGTTAAAAAAATAAAATATAATCAGCTTCAATCGAATTTTAATTGGTTCAAATTTTAACATGTAGAAAAATAAATTTTAATCGGCTAAAATTTTAATAAAATTTTATGTAGAAAAATTACTTGAGGGTTATGTAGGAGCATTTTTGGTCTTTTAGATGATTTTTTTTTTTTTTTTTGTTAAAAATGGTAGTTTAATGGTAGGGGTGTTAGTTATGTTTAAATATAAACTAGAAATGATGTTAGTGATGTTTTTGATAATAAAAGAGGTGTCTTTGAAGATATAGTAAACTATGAGAGGTGACTGAAATTTTTCCTAAACCGTGTTACAACTTGCACCTGCCAACGTGTTAACACAAAATGGATCAAAGGAATTTGGGGCTAATGGAGCCCAAAGCGGGCCACTGGGGAACCACCTTTAGGATTGATTTCAACAATGGATTCAAGTCTGTTAACTTTATGAAAATATAATACACCATTATTTCACGAGAAAACATCTCTTATGAATATTTTAGTTTTTGTGTGGATAATGACTTATTTTTGACCAGATCGATGAGAGGTTTAATCAAAAATGCGTATACACTGACTTAAACATCCCTAACTGTTCAACTCAAAAAACAAAAAAAAATATAACACACTCGTTACTTTTAGAAGTTAGAACAACATAGGTCATATGAACATGATCACCTCATCGATTTAGGTTGATATTTGGTGTATAAGTTCCATATTTTGCCTTGATTCAAGGGGGAAAGTAAGAGCCACACGTTGATTTCTTCTCTAAAACTTAATAAACGTTTCTCATCAACTACGTATGAACTATGTAAGAATAGTTGGAATGTGATGTGATAAACATTGTAATTGATGGATGGGACAACGTAAGATAAAGGGAAAAGTATAATTCTTCCGGTATTTCTATATCTTACATTATTGTAGGAATGAAGATTGGACTAAAGTAAAGGCATGCACCATAATTAAAAGAGGAATGCTATTGGGACATACACAATGATTTGGTGAAGAATCAGAAAAAAAAAAAAAAGACGTGGTGAAGAGTCCACGGGCAGCACCCCAGCCCAGACAACTAGATTAGCTGCTTTTTTCATACTCAGCTTCATGAAAATCTCCACAGCATATATATATATATATATATATATAGAGAGAGAGAGAGAGAGAGAGAGAGAGAATTGTAATAAGGTGAACGGAATCAAAAGAAATTGTTGATATATTTTTGTAGGACTTGATCAACAAGAACCGTGTATCCTTTCTGTGTAGGATGGTAACTGTCCCAGAATAAATATTTAGAGTCATCCGGACAAGTCTTGCTATATCGGTTGCATAAGATGACCACCTCCACAGTTCCAGTACCACAGCACCCTTTGTTCACCACATCAAAACCTGAAAATACTCACCAAAACTTAGAAAATTTCAGGGTGCAAACTTAACATCATTCATTTGAATCAAGTAAAAAAGTTTATAGCACGCGGGATAAAATTACGTACATCTTATTAGCCCATACCCCAACAACACAAAAGCCCAGTGTTTTTACCTGCCTTTTTAACAAAGAATGACTTCCTCTAATCAATGTTGATATTCCTTTTTTTCTGTTTCCCAATAACAAAAATTCATCTCAAAGTAGGTGTCCTTTGAACTCATGGTTACAATACAAGGATATCATATACGTCGTTAAATCCGCATTTTAAGAGAGCAATGGGATTAGAACTCAAGACAAATCAATATTTTATGTTTCACACTTTATTCTACGTACTAAATCACTCATATGAGTTTATCAATTTGGATGTTAACCACCTTATTTTGTGGATTTTGATATGACAAAACAAAATGGAACATGTGTAACACATAAAACAAAGAAAATTAAACCCAATAACAATTGATTTACCATATTTTTGAGGGTTTTGGATGATATCAAGCAAAGGGTTGTAGATATCAATGTAGACCACCCTTGATTGGGGAAGGCTGCTGTTAAGAGAATGAAGCTCCGATGATAGCTTGGTGTTGACCAGCTGAGCTGCTTGGTTGTAATTCTCTGCACACACTCTAAGGGGTCCCCCTGCTAGACTTCTCTGTGATGGCAAACATCCTATTGGGGGTATACCAAAAACTGCCATTCTTCGTGCCCCCAGGTTGTATAATTCCTGCAAATATATGTTATCAATAAGAGTCTCAATTGAATCGTGTTTTGTCGTATGAGTATTGATTATTAATTAAATTTAATTCAATTTATTTAATTGATCGTCTTTAGTACCCTGACACTATTTCATCTTTTTATTAATCATGTCATATTCACATCAATACACATTTTACCATAAAATTTTAGGATTTAGAACTCTCTTATCTCTTAACTAAACCCAAAACCCATTAGGCTTCTGATGCAACACGTATAGGCAAAAGACTAAATGGCAAATTAAGACTATCGAAAACAGTGATAATCAGGTGTCAATCCAAACTGATTTTAGGTGACAGTATCAAAAAATTTTAAAAGAACTCATTCTAGAAAACTCTTAACAATCTAAGCAAGATTAAAGAACCTTCAATCCGTCATTTTTTAAGCCAAAAAATGACATTTATGACACTTTTCTATTTTATCCTATTGGTTAGGGTATTTTCATAATATTGCTTATTTGTTTGATTTTTCTAATAATTTAGAACCATTAGAGTTTTGTATTTATAGGATCTTGAAAACTAATTCAAGAGCTATGGTTTTGATTTGAGTAAAAACTTAAAGACGAATTCTCTTTTTTTTTTTCTTTTCAGCAGCTCGGTATCCTGCGGAATCAACAACATCTTTTAAGGCTCTTGATGGGACTTTTTTACAATAATCAACAGGTTTGCACCACCTTCCCTGAAATAAATATCTATTCTATAGATACATATATACAAGATCAAAGTTAAACATTTTGTAAACCCATCATAATTCATCCCTTACCCAGCCAAAAAAATTGAAGGAAATTCAAAACAAAATAGAATCTTTCTTCATATTGTTTTGTACCAGCTAAACGATTTGATTAGTATTTATAGTGGTTCATTTTTCAGATAAGATCAAGAACTTGTCCATTCTAATTTTAAACTTCCCAGTGTCACCCCAGGCATAAACTAACATCGAATCTATTACCGATATACAACCTTTTTAAAACTTATTTACCAATCTACTGTCATTTTTAACTTATTTACCAAACTACTGCTATTTTAAAAACGGAATTACCAAGTCCGACTTTAGTTGAAAAAACGGATGTACCATGTCCGACTTTAGCTTATCCCAGTGACCTTCCCACCACCAAGGTGGGGTTTGGTTTTCTTTAGGGAATAATTTTCTGGTGGAGGTCTATGCATTTTCTCGGTGTTGTTTTTTTCTCAAACAGCCGATACCCAAAACGGAGGAGTTGATCTTGAAGCTCAAAATTGGAGTTAAACCCACGATCAAGGAAATAGACGTTCGAAAATCAGAAGTTCCCAAAACCCTTATGCATCGGAATACAAGTTCTATTTAGTCTTTACCAGTCAAAAGCAATCTTACACAAACAGTACAACAAAAAGCTTCAACGAAAGCAACAAAACAAAATTATAAATATATATTATGGACAATGAAAAATCAGAGCTCTAATATAAAAATTTAAGCATAAACATTGAACAATCTGCACAAACAAGTCAACAAAACGTTTTAAAGCAAAAAACCCAAAAAATCTCTTTTTATATACAGAAGAAAAAAGGGAAAAAAATGGAGCAAGCGACGATGAGAAACCGAAGCTTTAGATGTGCAAAGCTAAAGCACATTAAATATCATAAAAACCCAACAAAAATCAAACATCAACGTATGTATCTATATTAAAATGCATTACCGTCATATCTATGGCCAAAAATACAACATATACATGAAGGGAGAGGTGGAGAGAGATGTATATACCTTGTGGGTTCATGGAAGCTTTTGTTGATAAGGTCTGAAAAGATGGAGTTCTTATTGCTTTTCGGGTATCAAATGAAGGGAAGAGAGAGAGAGAGAGAGAGTTACTAGTAAGGTCTGGAGCGAGAAAAGTGGATGCAGAATTTTTACAGGCTTGGTGTAGGACAAAAAAAGGAATTTGGTAAGTTCGCTTTCCACATGAAGTCGCCTTGAGTAATTCTTCAAATAAAGTCGGCTTTAGTATTTTCACTTTTAACATAAAGTCGGACTTGTTACAACTGTTTTTTTAACTAAAATTGGACTTGATATTTACGATTTTAAGAGAAATTAGACTTGATAATTTTGCTTTTAAAACAGTAATAATTTGATAAATAAATTAAAAAGGACAATAAATTGATAAATAAATTTTAAAAGGTTGTATATTGGTAATAGATTCAACTAACACCATAAATAGTTATATATAAACATACCTGAACGAAATTGGAAGCAGAGGCCACCAGAAGATCAGCATAAGAAGGAACGGTGTATTGCAATCGTGTGAGGCCAATAGTAAAATAGGTATTGGCAAGATCATCGCTACCTGCTACCACTAAATATATGCTGTTCTTTAATATGTCGTTCGTTTTTGCTTCTCCAACAATACCTTTGAGTTTTCCGATGTACTCTTTGAATGATTCCAGTTGATCCGGCAACGATATAACTGACTGATTTTGATTCCCAATTTACAAGTAAAACGGCAAAATTAAATATCAGATTAGCAATGAAAAAAGTGGGAGATTTGTTTGTAAAAGATGTTAATGGAAAAAAGGCATGAAGTTCATTACAACTAATTGGGATGTCTGAGGATCAAATCCTGTGCCTCCTGAAGCAAAGCTTACGCCTGTGGGAAGATCTTCAGCTTTCAGATTCGGGTCGAGATAAGCCGGCAAAATGTTCTTAATTCCAAGTTCTTCAGCTGACGAGAACGAAAATTGAGTTAGGAGCTGAATCTGTATTCATGTACAGAGACAAATCTGTGTGGCTAATGAAGATAATGAGATTTCATTTGCTTGATGTAAACGTTGAGTCGTAGTTAGTAAATTCAAGGAAGGTTAATAAACTGTCTTTCTTTAGCACTGCTGCAATGATCTGGTTGTCACGGAGTTTAGTTACAAAAACCAATATTTCTACACCAGAGATAAGTGTGTGTATAACTGACCCTCCAAGGCTTTACAGGAACAAAAATCTATTGCGTTGACTTTTTTTTTCTCTATTTTTTATGAATGTTGAGACTCAAGATCAACTTAAATCCCTTCCTTTGCTTCAGAATTAGTTTGAGGGTAAGGCTGAATAATCCAATTAACAGCACTTGGGGGGAGGCAATGAAAGCTGCACATGCATTGCCAGGGTCCAAAATATTTTAGAGCTGAACCTTGTACTTGGGGGTAGGGTCACCCATATTTTCTTCCTTCTACCCTATAAAAAGATGTACTGGCTATGTTTCTCTGTAATGAAATCCTATCGTTTCTGATCCAAAAATGGGAGAAAAGACAGTAAAGCCCAGACTACTATGGTCATGTTGCTCATGCAAGTTTTCCAAATTTCGTTCGGTCCAAAAACATCAAATTGCAGAAGCCCTCAAATTGACATATATTAATGGCCGACTAAGACTTGAAACTGCTGGGTTGCATTGTAATGTTTTAATCCGAATTAAGGATTGTAACTGTTGGGTTTATGAGGATTTTAGACCTTTAACTCCAACATTACGAGAGAGAGAGAGAGAGAGAGAAAAGACGAACATATCAAAAGTTCGTGTGATGTAACTCGTAAAATATGACTGTCTGTCCACTACTCTAAAAACAGATAAAAGATAAGACGTTTGGTCAAACCATGCCAAAAATGATCAAAAAAGAAAAAGGGTTCGGTAAGGCAAAAAAATAGCTGATTCACTCCATGAGTGTGTATGCGTTTGTTCTTGTATATCCACTCACACACAAACATACACAAGCATACATATGTATACACTAGACTCTAGAGAGAGAGAGAGAGAGAGAGAGAGAGATGTTTTCGAGTGAATCTGTAAGAGAAATATGAAGTTTTACCGATTAAGTCGGCTGGTGTCTTTGCATTGCTAAACCTCCCAGTTGGTCTTCCACCCATGAAATCCTTCCCATATGGGGGAAAGTCAGACTTAATTAACGTAGCGAGATTGTTGTTGTTGCCCTGATCAACGATTGAATCTCCGAACACGATGACCGCCGGAACTGTTACATTTTCAGGTAGCTTTATTACGGCTTCAGTACTAGTGCAGAAAATAAGGAAAACATAGACGAGGAAAGATAGGGTTGAAAGGAAAGAAGACAATGATCGAGAAGGAGGTTTCATGAAGAGCAACTGCATTGTAATAAAGAAAGTTCTTTTAAACTTAAGAACAGAAGAATATTTGCTCATATTGTATGGTTTTCAATGGATTTATATAGTGGTGGTCTTCTAGTTCAATTATGTTACAAAAAAGGACACGAGGGTTCAGTGTGGCTTTGCCTCAGAAAAGATCGAACATATTAAGTATGACAATTTAACATTGTTTTTAAACTTCTTGCATTAATACGCTAAAGTGAGTGTGGCTTTAGACGAGATAATGACAAAAAAACAACAAAAACTCAAAGGGTTTTTCAAAATTTGTACGAAATTCTATACGCAAATAGTGAATAGCTACTGAATCTCAATAAATGTTAAAATTACAGTAAAATTAATAGTTAAAATTATTAATTCTACTTTTTAATTTCATGTAGCATTGGTCATACACAAATAGTGAATCTACCACAAAATAAAAAAAATAAAGAGCAATGTTATAAAACTCAAATGAAATTCAAAATATTGTAACTCAAATGCGTATCATCCCGTAGATGAATAGATCTCATCAATTTTTTCAATGGAACCCACTCATTTAATGAATGATATACATTTGAATTTTAACTTTTGGGTTTCATTTGAGTTATAAAACATTTTCTAAAAAATATTAGCGGGTTTGAATTGATTCTCGACGATGAAGTGATTCAATAGTATTTTTTAGAGTTTCAATTTGCTTTTAATATATTAGATTAATGTTTTTAAATTCCAAAAACATTATTTTCTTTTTGTAAGTTAGTGACAAAGGGGTGTATGTTGACAAAAATGTCTGTCTGTTTCTCTTTGACTTTTTTAAGTATGCATGTACGTGGCTCTTCCTCCTTATACTTCCATAAAAAATATCCTTTATCTCACCCACTTCCCCTGTATTTTGAAGTCTCAAAAAGTCAAAATAGTAAAGACGGAATTAACAATGCAATAATTGTAAGACCAATGCTGGCATGACTTACATGCAAAAAAAACTACCTTTTTAACAAAAAAAAATCCATGATCTTGAATAATCTGATTGTGGCATTAATGGCATCTAACCCATCTCTAGTCTGGTTTTTTGCCAACATCCAAAATTGGAAATACAAGTAAGTCACAAAGGTGTAAGTGTTGAACAGATCCAGCTTCGCCAGTTCCTGGCTAGTAGCCCTAATTTTGTTAGAATAAAACTTTTGACTTTTGTAAACTATAAATATGATTTGATTTATTGATTTAATAATATCTAAAATAATATGATTCTAAAAAAAAAAAAGTCCAAAAATTACATGTACAATAATCATTAATAAATTAAACCAAATTTTTTTAGATCCCAATTACATTGTTCATGTTGTTAAAACTTGATTGTCCATTCAATTGCCATGTGCCACGGGTAGTAAATTTTAGAAAAATGTTAAATAGGCTTAAGATTTTGACTTAATGAATCAATACTATTAAATAAGTAATCGTTCTCAATAAATACTATAACTTATAGTTAAATTAATAAAAAAAACATAATAGTCACATCTTAAAATTAATTTTTAAAATATATGTAACATTGCTCTAATTTTAACCGTTTCATGACACCCATATTACAATAAAGCAAAATTAACTTAAAATGTGGTCGAGAAATCGAGGTATTGACATGGGAGTTCATTCCACAAATATTGTTGGCACATATATGCGGTGTCCCTCTCTCTCCCAGCTACTAAATGAACATAATCTACAGTCTAAAAAGTGAAGTGTGCATGGTTGTTTAGTGATGTATTGATCGAACTTCTCAATTTGAGGTTGAAAGTTTGAGTCTTACGGTTCACAATGGAACTCGGTGGTTGACTGCTATGTAAACCTAATTAGGTTCGTTTTTTAGAAGTGTAATCGGCACAGTCAGAGACCTTATGATCTCACTAGTGAGGATTTATCGGGGTGATCTCGACGCTCTCCTTTGCTCTATTATTTTTTTTTTTTGGCCAAGCAACCAAAAAAAAAAAAAAGAAGTGTGCATTGGTAAAGTTGGTTAGGAAGGATGATCTCGTGCCCTAAAAAAAAGAAAAAAAAAGTGGCCCTCCATGCAAGATGGTGGGCTACCTCCATGACAAGGCAATGCCCTGGAATAGAAAACTTTTACATAATTATTTTGAGGCCACGAGCTGCTTAAGAAAACTGGGTTTATAAGCTGAGTTGTGGTTTTGCTGATTCAGAAAATTTGTTGGGTAAACAACCAGATGACCCACATATTTCATATTATCAAGTTTCTCACCAGTTTTCCTTTAAAAAGGTAAGGATATTTTTTACGCTCCTTAAGAGTCAATCACTCTTATTTATCAGGAGACATGTCTTTAAAATTAACTTGAATTACAGTTATCAACTCAGAGAACGAAGGAGTAGTCAACACAAATCTGAACATCTTATATTTAAAAAAAGAAAGAGCCATGAATGTTTCCATAATAATTGGCAACCAAGGTGTTTAATCTCCAATATTCCGACCACTGATTTATTAATATAATTTATTAAAACTCTGGAATTGACCTTGAGCCCGTGCATTCATGTCTATTTTTTCACAAAAGTGAAGAAAGAGCAACAAGCCATTTTCTTTTGTTTTTTTTTTTTTTGGGTGAGGTGGGGGGGGGGGGGGGGGGCGGAGGGGAGTGGGATAACCAGAATAACTTGTTGGTTTTGCACAATGGATAATTAATACAAATAATATTTATTAAAAAATAGGAATTCAAAGATAAAAAAATAATAAAAATATAACACAAAATATAATGTAATTCAATACAACATACCCTCTTATTATACTATACCTATATTTAAGGAACAAAAACTTACATCGATTGGTCATTTAGTAACTGATTACATATTTATTATAGAAATAAAATACGGTAAACCAATACAATTAGGATACTATTAAATCTCTATATTTCCTATCAGATCACTAATAAATCTATCTATAGTTTATTATGACTCTTTTAATTAGGGGTGCAACTTAGGCAGACCAACCCGAATTCAACTCAAGTCTAACTCAAAAAAAACAAAGATTGAGTTAGGATTTTTAAGACTTGGGTTGAGTTTGGACAAAAAAACCTCAACCCAAATTGAATTTAGGCAAGCTTTGGGTTGAAGCTTCGGGTTGTCGGGTTCAACTCGAATATTAAAATTGGGTTGAACTCGAATATACATAAATATATTTAACTAAGGTTAGTATTTATCTTCACTATTTAGAGTTCAGACTTTCACTCCCCTTCAACTCTTCACCCTTGCGCCTCCATCACGCTCAGATCCCTCTCTCACTCGTCATTCTTCCCTTTTTAGCCTCTCTCTCTCAATCGTCACTCATCTGAGTCGTTTTAGACTCTCATCCTCCCTCTCTCACTCATCACTCCTCCTTTTTTCTCACTCATCACTTTTCCCTTTCTCTTAATTTACGTCTCGCCTTTCATCTCAAATCAGTTGAAAAAATTAGTTCTACACTAAAAATCAAATCTACACTTCAAAAAATCAACCAGAACTAAGTAATCCAATCCAACCCAATTTTTAATCCGAAATTAAACCGAATTAAGTAACTCGAATTCAATTCGAGCCTGCCTGAATTAAACTCTGGCAGTACTCGAGTTGAGTACCTCGGGTTGAGGTAGAGTTAAGGTTAAGGTTGAAGATTATATATTTAAGGTTGGGTTAGGATTGACCTCTCAACCCACCCAATTTACGCTCCTACTTTCTATACGTTTCTTATTTCATTCAAATTGATTACTTAATAAACTCATATTTATAACAATTAGCAAATTTTGGTCAAATTTTAAAAGTCGTTCTTATACCAAACTCTTCAAATTTGACCATGCCTTTAAGACCGGAACATTCAACCAATGTGGAACGTGACATTCTTCACCAACAGAAAGTGGGATGCCCTCGTTGTGTTGGACTCTCTGGGGGTTCCACGCAGCTACTAGGGTTGGATTTGGAACTCACTAGATTTCTCTCTGATACCAATTATAATGATCGACCTCCACGTTGCCTAAAATCATAAACTGGTCAAGCGGAGAACCACTTATAAAAACCTTATAACCCCATGCCGCACCCCAAATCCAACTACTCTTGGGGACCATGACCATTAACTATGGTACGTCGTCATAATCTTTCATTTCATGCGGCTTTAATCAGTCATCAAAATGACGAGTCGTCGTGATCTTTTGGATAAAAAGAAATGGCTGACCAAAAGTAATTATTAGCAGAGATGAAGACAGGTAACCATAAGAAAGTTGCGGTTCCGGCAAAGAAAGCCAGACAAGTGTCTCCAGTCACCCATCGTCAAATAAAAGCCTTGTCAACCATAAGAAAAACGACACATCCTGAAGCCACCAAGGAAATGGACCTGGGTTTCAATATTTTTTATTTTTTATTTATTAGTGTTTCTTAACTATTTTTTTCTAGTTCGATCAAAAATAAGTCATTCACGCTGAAATTAGGATATTCATGAGGGATAAATCTCTTATAATTTGACTCTAAACAATTGTCAAGATACAAATTCAAAATGTTTAAGTTTACAATTCTTCTCTATTACCACTTGAATTACTCTTTAAAAATTTGTACAGTTGAAAAGCTGAAATATGACAGATGTAATCAAATTTCACATTGATGTGTTTGGTGACTATCAACTTCTTTTTTTTCCTTTTTTCTCAAGTTATTTTTTCGACATCACAATAAAATTACTATAAAATAAAAGTAAAGTTATAAGTCAATCTTATAGTGGTACGACAAAAGAATTTCGAACCGATCATATGATTTTAGGCCAATCCAATTTTTTTTGATGTGGTAACTTGACCACATTAAATTATAATTAGACTTTTTTAAAATTATAGTTTGATCTCAAAAGAGTTATAATTAATTTGAAATTTTGAAATGGTGCACTAGTACTTCCTTGATCTAAATGTTCTTTGGGTTTAATTGCATGTAATTTTGTATCTAACACACCGACAAAGCAAGTGGAGATTAGACACTTGGATTTGTAGTCGAATGAGAAAGACGCGTACATTAGAACCAACCAAGGCACATGGCAAGTAGAGATTAGATCAGTGGGTCTTGAATGCTGAGTCTTTGGTAATGACCTTGATTTAGACTTTAGTATGAATTAGCTCTTCTATTCTATAACACCACAGAATATCTAAATATGAATGTAAGGCAAAAGTTCTCTTGCGTCTCAACAGTACACAGCTGACAGCTCCATCTATGGAGGCACATACAGTGCGGACGGGACCAAGTTAAAAAGATGCATTTCTGTCTTCAAGGCACTGGAAGAGTCTTCTAAAAAGAAATGACGAACTTCATCGTCAATCGACTGCGGAGATCACAAAGCTTTGGAATTACAAACCCCACCCCCCCCCCCCCCCCCCCCCCCCCCAAAAAAAAAAAAAAAAAAAATTGTTGATTCACATTTGTATTCAATCAAAATTCAAATTTTGCTCCTCAACCAACCCCATTATTTGTTACTCTTTCGAGGCACGAATTTGCATGCTGCCAAATGAAGTTTCATCAAGAAGGCAGTGGAGCAGGTCGTTGGACGGTTTGCAGCCAACAGAAATCATACCCATATAGCACCCTACCAACAGCCAAAATAACCCAAAATGCATGCCCCTGGCTACAGACTCGTGCACTGCAATGTGGGAAAAGGCAACAATGTTGCCGGCCCTACCATACAAAAAATTACAACTTTAAAAAACATAATCAATCCTAAAAAATTAAGATCGATACCGAGAGATCATAATCGATTATAAGTGTCTGTGATCGATCATGACATTCTCTTAAATAGTTGTAACTGACAGCACGATACCGGAAAAAGAATATATATTCGGCACACTTTCCCAAGAAATGTATACATTGAAACCCCCAAGAGTTCCATTTTAAATACACAGGCATGCATGTACATAAAAGCATCACCCCACTAACAGAAGCACCAACTTTCATATACAACCACCAAATCTAAAACAGATGAGATAGCTACAAGAAGTTAATAAATCAAACCAAAGGGAAGATTCCATACCGACCCAAATTATTAGCATCAAAAAGCATTACAGGTAAGATATTGAATTTCACAAATTGCAAATCAAATATATGTCGCCTTTTATCGAGGAACACATCAATGGCCGCTTACAATGAAAGGATTTTGGCAAACCCCACACTCTATGGTCTCAGAACCGGAGTTGGGAACTTGAACCTGTAACATACACATTTGGCAACATGATCAAGATAATAATAGAGAGAAGGAAACAACTCTCTATTTGAAAATTTCCTAAGTGGAGGCGGACAAAAATTCCAAACCTGCAAATGAACTGTACAAGTAGGACAGGCAACCTCTTTCATCCGCCTACCAGATCCCTCCGACTTGGAGCCTGTGAAAGTAAACCATAAAAGAAAGGGTAGCAGGAGAACAGCGTTTACATTTTCAAAGCAAGGATTGAGCTAAATGTGCCCTGAACCACTGCAATAGAGTTAAACAATCACCAAAACATCTCCAGCTACGACACCTCTGAGTGAAACAGTAAAATTTAACCCCGCAGGTGCAACCAACAGGACATGTTCAACCAATGGATTATAACCCACAGGTACCACTTCTGTGTTCTTATGATCCTTTTACTTTGGCCAACAGGCCAAGTATATAATGGATAATATATCTGTTAAAGCCACAAGGTCACCTCAAGTTGACCCACCTACTGACTGACAGAATAAGTTGAATTGTTGAATGCACATAATTGAGAACTTTCCTACAAACTAAATAAGTTACACCAAAACACTCCAGGCTCCAATTAAGCAGGTCATAGAAAAAGGGCATCCCAACATAGGGAACTACAAGCAAATTCAGAAGGTCATGCACATGAACCTTGTGAAATCTAACAAAGGGCAGGTTCAACCAGCTTTCTCAAGATGTATAAGCATACAAACACAGCAAACCAGAGTACTTGCCCGGGCACACCACATATTTCAGCACGAATATTTACCTGTTGATGCCTTGCGATTTCTCTCCATCTCTTCCTGTAAAAAATGACAAACATCAGATCAACTACAAACAAAAATAGGGTGCTACTCAGAACTCATCGAAAAAGCTACATAGATCTATCTAGTGTCCACAAACATCATGAATTATAAAAAAGTTTAAAAATAAAAAACAGTTAGACCAAAGTCAATGAAATTCTACTATTGTAAGAATGGGACGAATTCAAAATGGCTATTATTGTGAACACGGAAGAAATACACATCGCCTGGCATCATCAGAAAACACCAATAGATCCACATTAGTTGGCAAACTTAGTTGCAAGAAGCATGTATAAACAAACTAAACCTAAAAGCATGAAGGCACCATGTCTGCACAAACTGACAGTTTTTCTAGCATTAACATCTGTCTCTCTCTCTCCAATTCAGTCAAATCCACAAGAATCTACTTCACACCTCGAGTTCATTGTAAAAATTCCAGATAGAAGGGCAGCCTAACACAAACCAGCAACCGTGGCTTTGTTAGAAACTACAGATAACATACTAGGACAAAAGCCAAAAGTAATGAGAAACCAGATGTTATATGAGCTGATTGGAAGATACAAGAAGGATTCCCCTAAAAATAAATAAATAAATAAAAGAAACTCCTACGAAGTAAAGGGAAGGGTAAGAAGACAAAGCCAATGTAAAGAAAAGAAGAAAAAGCAACAATAAAGCAATTCCCATGAAAGAAAATTTCTGGCAAATATATGCCTCCAACATCAATCAAGAAAAGATATCTCATATACATACACTCAACATTTTGAAAACTATGAAGAAAAAAATAATGACCCTAGAGGATTAGCCTATCAGGTATACATGAAATATCAAAGGAAACAAAATGATGCCAAAAGAAAATTTTGAGACGTAAGACACCTGAAGCTTCTTGGCAAGATCCTCATGACTCTGCAATCCAGCCAATCTGCTGGCTGCTTCTTTAGCATTGCTCAACCGCTGAGTAACTTCTGCCTGTAACCAAATATAACACATGAAATTTAGCCATTACCATATTTATGAGGTGACTGAGTGAGTGCAAGCATCCTTCAACATGCTTATGCATAAAGTAACAGCAAGAAGTGATGCAAACTGAATGCAAAGATTGGCACATTGCTTGAAACATTGGTCGTGTTTTGTTTTGAAACTACACGATACTAAACAAAATTATATATAATTATAGATCCATATCCACAGACAATTATTATTACTTTTATAGTACTGAACAGTCCCTTTTATCTGAAATTATATACAACTATGCATCCATACATCATAGTCAGTTAATATTTATTTTAATTAGGGCAACAATTTGGAATCAAAAGTTTAGACGATGTAGAACATGAACCCACCCATTTGGATCGTTGTACACTGATGGTTTGACCAACCAAATGGTTCAACTACAGTTCAACGAAATCAGAACAACAACATACCAACTAGTTATTGACTTATATTTAGAAACTAAGCCCAATTAAGTGATTACATACTACAATACCTAACTTCCATAAATGATCAAGTTTGTGAAGAACTACTCTCATCTAAGCTCCCAAGTTCAACAAGTTCATTTGGAATCAGTTTCCATAAAGAAAAAAGAGGAAGAGAATGCATGTGAAAAGAGGTGCTGGTTCTCCATAAGTGAAAGTACAGAAGATTTTACAATCATTTGGGCCCAAGATTGCATCTCCACAAACAAAATGTGCATAAACCTATATGATGCAGAGTAACCCAAAAAACACCCCATAATTACCAGACGTTGAACAAAGAAGAATTGAAAAAATGGAAAAAGATTGAGTTTTATCCTGAATAATTGATACAATACAAAAAACATCACAAAGAGAAAGATGTACAACTGTTGATGTATATACCATGCATCGATCACAAACTCTAACTTGAGGAGCATTCTCATCAGCTGTGAGTGCGATTCTGCCATGGGTGCACTTGTCACAGAATATATCTCCGCAATTCCTGCAATGATGCTGAAATGGAGGAAAACCCTAATGCTAATCACACAGTCAACAAAAACATGAAAAGAGTACTAAACAGTAAACAAGCACCTCGGATTCCACAAAAAAACATGCAATAAACAGTAACATTAATTTCTACACCAAGAAGAAGCACACCTTATGTACGAAAGCAAAAAAACATACCTTACGTACGAATGCGCTGAAATCTGTCCCACAAGCAGTGCACTTGGTAGCTGCTTCATCAGGAATCTAAGGAAAATAAAGTATAAACCAAACACCATCTAAGAACTGCAGCAAATATAAATCTACGACTTTCAGAAGTCCAATATTAGCTTGATGCTTAATATTTAAGGTATAATGAAAAACAACTAAGTTTACACATGACAGACATTCTCAGTTTGAGAAAAAAAAATGAAACAAGTACAATAAGTTTTACCATTCTGCACTAAAAACAAGAATACCGACCAGTTTTGACAGCATTTACTCTAACTGCAGTTCTTTAAACAATCGCTGGAAACAATACAAAGCAACCTAGCAGGTCTTCAAACAGACATTGCCATGGACAACTCTTCTAAAAATGACATTAATGCACCATTAAACTTCACCAAATTTCAAAGTCTTTAGGTCTCATAAACACTTTTAATTTATAGTTCTCATCCATAAAAATCAAATCGTGTGGAAATGGAATAAGATTAAAAACTAGTAGGTTACCCAATGATCTTTTTCTTCATTGACAGGCTTTATCAAGTTCATCCACTCGCCAAGACCTTTCTTCTTCTCAGTAGGCTGTTCGGCCATTTTTGAAGAATCAGGAGGCCGGCTTCTTCCACCCATCTCCTTAAACTACAATTCAAACATGTAGATTAAAATTAACATCTCACCAACCAACCTCAAGCTCAAAATGAAAGAAAAAACAAAATAGACAGGACCATAAAATGATAAAATCATAACCATATGAAATACACTTTGGCGAGTATGAAAAACCCTCTTTGAAATGCATTCAAAACACAAAAACTATGTATTACTTGATAGCATATAAAGAAGTAAGGTGCTGGACCCTGTGATAAGAGTCCCACCTCATGTTATTGATGCAGGTTCAACTCTCACTAACCGCATAGCAGCAGCTAACCCCCCCGCCCCAAAAAAAAAAAGACAAAAAAAAATCCCTCAAAACCAAAAGCCATAAGACTCGATAGCCTGGAAACAGATTAGGGAGTTGACAGCGCATAATGAAAAAACTCGGGAAATTAGAAATTTGAAATACTACCCCAAAAAACAATAGGATTAAATCGAGACTTAACCTATGTTTCGGTTAATAGGATGCCACCATATTTCCATTTGTACAATTAATGTGTTTAGGGGCCTAGGATATTCTAGTAGATTCAAATTTGTAGCATAGGCAGTACATAAAGTCCATAGGTTTATTTTACAAACTATGTTATTGGATCATCTTGTTGCAAAAAAAAATGGAACACCATAATTAGTGCTTGTGAAATTCTGAATGAAATGCACATATCGCCCATGCAAATGCACCATCCAAGTATGAATCTAAGGTAGGTCAAAGTTAGTATGCACTATTTGGTAAAATTATTGGCCGAAACCTGAAAAAGTTCACAAATACTCAGGATTCCTAATCAAGAAGCAAAAGTTCCATATCTTTGAGCCTTAAATGCGTATGAAGTTCAACAACCAAGAGATATTCAAAATTTACCATTATTTTTCTTTTGTAATGTTTTAGAAGACAACTTGGAATTAGAGAGGAAAAAACCTACTTCAAAATCCTTTCCAAACTCCTTCTTGGATATTTTATGTAATCTCTTATTCCACAATGGCAACAAATGCCAGATTCAATTTAGAGTTGGAAGCACTGCTTGAACACTGCATGGGTACATTAAGATGTTAGGCTAAATTAAAGGACAGGCTAGGTACGCTCTGCTGGAGCATTTGTGGTTTCAAAGCACATTATCTTCAAGACTAGGGCAGCTGCTCTTTAAGGTTAGAACACAACCAAGGTTAAAATCCAAGAACTGATTTCCTTCGATTATGTTCCTACTTTGACTCCAATAGTTTAAGCTGTTGACAATTATACGAAGCAGCAAGATACTGACTCATTCCCAGACCACTGGCCTTTACTTAAGACAACTACAACCTGCATAGGTTGCTATCCAGAACCACTAGCAGACCTCCTACATGATATACCTACACATGTTGTTTCCGATAGTTATCAAATCTATAGTTGTTAAATCGTGATTCGTATCATGAATCAGAATCCTAAATTTGAGAATCGTGAATCATATCGAATCATGAATCGTAAGATTCGACACAAAATTTGAAAAAAATAAAAAATAATATTACATATTTAAAATAGACAAAATATTGATTATTAAACATTATTGCATTCTAAAAATAATCAATTGACATAATTATATCGTCTAAATGAAAAGACGCTAGCCTTTTGTTTCTTTTTCGTCTTTTACTTAATTATTTTCAAATTTAACAACATGAAAAAAAAATTCATGGTTATTCAAGAATCAAAATAGTGACATCCAATATAGATTATGTTACAAACATGAATGAAAAAAGAACAAATAAAAAAATTGATTGGGAGAAAACATACTAGCCAACATATTGAAACAAAAAATTAAAACCTAACAAATTACTCATTAAAAAATAGAGAGCAAAAATCAACCGATGATTCGAGAGCGTTAACTGTGACCTTTAGTTTTAGATAACGCAAGACGAGCTTTAGACGACGTCAAAGAGAGATAACAAGCAAAGAGGTTGAGTTTTTTTGGGACTTGGGTTCCTCTGTAAACAAAATGTTGTTTTACTGTTTAGAAAACAAAACGATATCGTTTTATCAAAAAATTGGATTTTAAAAAAAAATAATTGAATCGTGCGATTCGTGAGATACGAATCGAATCGTACAATTCATGCGCAATTCAACTCTAAAACAATTCTCATATAAGATACAAATCGTTTTGCATCTGTATCAAACCAAATCGTACGAATCGAATCACGAATCGTACAATTTTGATAACTATGATCAAATCGTGTATCGCAAAACGTATCGTTTTTTAAAAATAGTGTATCGTATCGTATATCGTGTGTCGTAAGATACGGAACAATTTTAAATAATTAATAATAAAATATATGTGTTTTTGAAAAAAAATCATAGACTCATAAAACTATAACATTTCATTAATATTCCACCTACTATTCAAGTCACCAATATAATTGACTAATATTAAAAAAATAATTAAGAGTATCAAATTAAATTAATGGTACGTATGTATACTTAAAAATGAAAAGTTATAATGTAATGGAGTAGTAAATATAATTTTTCTTTCTTATAACAAAAACAAAAAAAAAAAATTCTACACAGTCGTCTATAAAGTGACCCACGAACGAACACAGAGACAGAGAGAGGCAATGGCGATGCCGGTGCCGGAGAGAGAAAGAGAATAAGAAGAAGAAGAAAAAGAAAGCAGCTTCGATGGATGAATAAAGAGACAACTTCGATGGAGGTAGCTTCAATGGAAGAACAGAGAACCCCTAGGAGTCGTCGTCGAAAGCTGAAGAACACCCATGCCAGGAGTCAAAGACCAGACCAGCGCACACCCAGGCCAAGAGTTGAAGACCAGACCAGCGAACACCCAGGACCAGGAGTGGAAGACCAGCGAACAACAAAGAATGAAAAGACGTATTTTTATTTTTTTGTAAACCCTAGCCACTGACAATGTAGTTCCATAAAAAAAAAAAACAGCTTTTGCACGTATCATGCATATTGTACCGATACGTATCGTATCGTAAAAACATATCGTATATTGAACGATACAACACAAAACTACGATCCGTATCGTTTTAGCCCTATATCGTGACATATCATACGATAAGTATCACGTATCATACGATACTAACAACTATGCCAAAAAATATAACATCTACCACTTTCGGAACCAAGCAATGCCTACCCTTTTCCATTCAGAAGGCCTTCAACCTTCTCTCTGCTCTTAATTTCATACCCAGAAGCTTCTCACAACCTTAGCCCATCATAAATCCATTGAAAGTCGAACGTTCCAAGATTATTAAGGGAGTCCTACGTTTCATTAGCTCACATGCAAGACATAGATGCATGCATGTGTATGTCAAATGTAGGCTTAAGCATAGATCAGGATTTCAGGATACAATCAATGGTGGACTTAAGTACCATGACTCCCCTATCAGATTTTTACAATGGTTGAAATTCAAAAAAATGTAAAATGTGCACATCAGAACATTTCCTGCAAATGTTCCTCTTCCTTGAGAGCACACAGATTCATGAAGATTGAGAGGGCTACTTAACTCATAAGTCTCCAATCGTTTTAATTATAAGGCCCAATGCACAAAACTCCTGCCACTACGAAGTCTGGGAAAAATAAAATATAGACAGTTTTACCCCTGCATGCTCGAACTCTTGACACCCAGATCAAAATAGAGCAACTTTACCGGTTCTCCAATGCCCGCTCTCTTTGAATTCCTTTCATAAATAAAAAAATGTAGTCCTCCAAAAATTACAACACAAAATTTTCTATTTTTTCATCAACTTCTGCTCATTGTGAATAGCTCAGATTAAAATAAGACAAACCACTTCCAGCGAACTACATGAACTTTTTCTAGGCCACATCAACATAAATGCCAT